CAAACCACATTCTTACATTTGCATTTGATTTACAAATGGCGCACACTCCACCAGAGGAGAGCCGTTAACACCTTTGGGGGGGATACTCGATACAAACTAGGTGCAGTCTGCACTTTGGGACTTTGAGTGGATCGAATCTCTTTTGGATTTTCAGCATATTATTACCTATATTTGCTAGTATTTTACATTTCATTGGCGATCTAAAGCAGCCGAATCATTCTAAATCTTGAAGAAAGTACTGCCCTCTAAGACAGACTGAGCTCTGCCATTTGCCGAGGTGACACAAAAAGTCTCAGTTGATTTTTATTCTTTTTATTAAGATCTGAGGGCAGGGAAGGACAAATGGAACATCTTAAAAAACTACTTTTGTAAAGATTTTTGACAAAACTGTTATCCATCCATTATCTGACACGCTTGTCCCTATTGGGGTCGCGAGGGGTGCTGATGCCTATCTCCAGCTGTCAATGGCAAGAGGCGGGGTCCACCCTGGACAGGTCGCCAGTCCATCGCAGGGCAACACAGAGATAAACAGGACAAACAAGCATTCACACACACCTTAAGGAGAATTTAGAGAAAACAATTAACCTAACATTCCTGTTTTTGGACTGTAGAAGGAAGCCGGAGTACCCAGAGTTAACCCATGCATGCTCAGGTAGAACATGCAAATTCTGCACCGAATAACCCCGGGCCAGGAATCCAACCCAGAACCTTCTTGCTGCAAGGTAGCAGTGCTACCTAATCGATCAGGTAAAACTTACCTGATCGATTAGACACACTAACGCTACAGATGCTCCCGACTCGGCACACTGACGCTGCGAGGTGTTATTATCGTTGTCTGGGCAACTACAATGTTTTACATCATGTGGCAATGTTCAGCCAATCGGGCAGCCTATCGTTGCTAGCATGAAGCAGATCTGGCACCTACACCGGTTCTGCTCTAAGAACTCCTCTAGTAACTCTGGAGATTATTTAACAAAGAAGAATTCTTCCTAAAATAAAGAAACTTATGGAAAACAGTAGGCATCCTTTTCAGAAGATCTTTAAACAACAGCAGAGTGTCTTCAGTCAGAGGCTTCTCCAGATCCAGTGCAAGACAGACAGCTACAGAAGATCCATCCTGCCCACAGCAATCAACACCCGTATAAAAAAATAACATTTGAGTTACTGCATTTAATTTCCCTTTGAAAATGAAGTATAATTGAATTTTAATTGAATAAATTAGACTTTAAAAATCTTAATATTTGGAATGCATTTTTTTATTCTAATTGTCTAAATGTGATTTTTTTTTTCAAAGGCTGACTATATACGATTGTCCGACCTGCGAAGCAGCAGCATTAGAAGCTCCTGTAGTTTCAGGTGATTGAACTGCAGCTTGGTCTGTTTATTTACATGCAGTTTCTATTTCCATGATAAACTCTTGATTGTTTGCTTGACAGGCAGCAAACAAAAGCAGAATTCAGGGTGAGGCATCAGGAACCTCTAAAAGGGGCCTTCTCTGTAATAACTGTCTGCCAGGAAACACTGAGGGGTTTTTGCTTTGCAAATGAGCAGCGGTGCAGCTGTGCAGTCACCACCGTCAGAAGCGCCACATGATTCATATTTTCTGTTGCTCTTCCTCTTCCGCCCTCCCAGCTGGGACGCCGCCGGTGAAAGGGAGGGCAGAGATATGAAGGCAGCGTAGGAGGAAGTCACCTTTAATCTGCAGTTTCAGGCTGGCAGACACACACAGGTGAGTCCTGCAGGTAACTTTGTTCATTCTCTACACCTTATCTGGAGCTCTATGGAGACTGCAAAAATGATCTGAATGGAAACTCTGACCTGCTGAACTTGGTCTGAGTTCAGTGCATGGTAAATGTTCTGGGATCTATTAAAAGTTTAGGGTTATTTACTTTTGATAACATGGAACATTAAAAGGGATTGAGATTTGTTGCAGCAGCTTTCTGCTTTTCATCATGCCCTGCTGTGGTTTCACACCTGGAAGTACGCTGGAAACACCTTTTCCTTTCCTGCACTCTTCTGCTCTCATGTGGTTTAGTGGTTTCTTCAATAGTTTGAAGGTTTTCGTGGTGTGATCGAAGAAAGGTTTGGTTTAGTTTTTAGCAGATGGGATTAAATACCCTCTGAGATCAGACTTGATGCTATTTAGAGTCATCCCGGCTGGTTTCAGGTACATCTGACGTTCCTTGGACATGTTGCCTGGATGGTTTCTTTGGGTTTTAACATACAGAAGATGAAGCAGAAGATCAGAGTGTTTGGGGTCCAGAAACGTTTCAGATATTCTGATCAGTAGATCAGATCCAAATCTTCAAAGCAGACAATAGAGAAGTGGGAGCAGCTTTCTATTTGGTATCGTGAGGCCATGTTCTGCTTTCTATGAAGTTCTGCTCCTGTGGTTGTGGTTCCATGTGGCCCAATTTGTTTCCATCAGTATTAGTTCATGGGTTGGAACATGGTGTCCACCTGACTCGTTGAATCGTTATTTAGGAAGACTCTGTGGTGGTCTGCATAGGAATCTCTTTTTATTGATCCATTTGATGCCGAACTTATGCAGAGGATTTTGTTCCATTATTGCTGGAGTCAAAGAAATTGTTTTGCAAAAGGAAATGTGAGAAAAATGAAATCCAGAAATGAAACTTTCAAACCAAAAAAAGGTTTTCAGATTAACTCTGCTGTTTTGACAAATCTTTTTTTAAATAATTGTATTATTTCTTTTTCATATTTTATTCTTTCAACTGTTAATTCATCTCATTTCTCTTTTTCAGCTTAAGTTTTACAAATTGTTTGATTCAGTTCACTTCTCAAGCTTTCCTCCAGAGTGAGGAGTAAAAACGCTTTTCTATTGGTCGACATGGACCTTAGCAACAACATTTTTACTGGTTAATGTGCGCGTCAGAAGCGTGTGCTTGTCTTGGGTTTGAATTGCATTGAATGTGATTTCAAAATTGCAATTTGGAAAGAATGCAATTTATTAAACTTAATCTGAAAAAATACAATTTAAAAAATTTAAAACTGTAAAAAAAAAAAATTAAAAATTATGCTTCAAAAATAAGGTTTGATCAAATTAAGTACAAAATAAAAAAAAAGGAAATTATGAAAAATTTAATCTGAAAAACAGCAAAGTTACTCCAAAAAGCTTTTTTTGTTAAATATTTTCATTTTTCGACGTGATTTTATAATTTACAAAACATGTCTACTTGCAACAATAATGGAACAAACTTCACTCTATATTCATTTAAAAAGCTTAATATGATGCATTATCTATTATTTATATCCTGTCTGACATTAAACCAGATTAAACCTTTCCTGTTTTGGGTCAGTTGGGGATTTTTTCTGAATTCCTACTAAGCAAAAGAAACAACAGAGAGGAATTTTTAGGATCTTTTTCACTTCCTCCAAATTCAGACGTTTTCAGCTTCAGCGTTCGGTGGAATTGATATTTAAGCTTTTTGAATGAGTTTAAAACATTTAAATGTTTGCTTCTGGTAGAGAAAATGAAGTTTGAGTCATTGCTCTGCAGTTTTATTGTTGGAACTAAACGTGAAACCTTCAGCATTTGAAAGTATCCCTATGAGATGTTGGCTACTTCTTTTTTTTTTTTTCATTTTGGGAAGTAAGTTGTTTGAGGCGTTGCCTTCAAACACATCCTGGGACTTCAGAAATTGTGTAAAGGCTGTTAACATTAGAAAATATGAACTTTGGATTATAAGAAAAAATTATTAGGTATTTAAAAAAATAGAAATAATCCCTCTAATGCCACAAACCTAAAGCAGGAACACTGATATTGAATTTTGAACAGTGACAAAACAAGATTTACTCTTCTGTAAAATGTACCAATCATGGTTTCAATCTGAAAAACTCACACGAAGAGAAAAGACAATTAGGAGAAATTCATTGATTCACTAACTTTGTCTTTGGCGCTCAGTCCTCGGCAGGAAACATAAACTTAATTTTGATAGATATGCGTGAACAGGAGCAAAGAATAGGGCTGTTTCCCCCAGGCCTGAAACTGGAGGTGGAGTGGAGATAGATGAAGTTGGTCAGTCTGTAGACTGCTGGCTAGAGAGACGGTATGCTGAGCTTTATGGAGAGATCCGGTGGACTGCGTGAGTTGATATTAGAGCTTCCCCAAGGAACTTGGAAGTCCAGTTTAACACAGGTTGAGAGAACCTGTCCATGATGAGCAAGCATGAAGCGACAGTGGAAAGGAAAAACTCCCCGTTGGGGCAGAACATGCTCCACATGGTGGTCTTCTGCCGGACCGGTTGAGCTGAGACAGGGGCGTCATCTGAATGAAGTCACAGCGCATCCGCCACCTGCGCACAGGAGCAGACTAGAGTGGATTGGAGGCCTTTTAAGATGAACGTTGGATGCCAATTGGCTTTCATGGAGGCGTGGTTCAAAGCTGATTGGCTGTGTCGCAGGTGGATGAAGGAAAGGAATGAGTTTCTTCAGTTGAACTTCCGCCTAGGCTCCAAAACAAAACAACGTTAACTTTAACAATAAACATAGAAGGCATGAAGGCATAAAAACAATAAAAAGTTAAACTAAATAAAACCAGTTACAATAACAAATATAGTCAAAGTCTTTCTCATGTTGAAAGGATAATCAGAAAAGTAGTTTTAAAGCACAGTTTAGTAATTAGTCAATAAAGCAGTTTATCTAATGAGAAGAGAAAGCTCTGCTCCCTCTGACCTTCCTCTGACCTCGGTAGAGGGGGACAGTAATAGAGACGTACGGCAGAGCAAGGTCATTTATACACTTAAACAAAGCTATGAAGTTTAAAAGTAACTTCAAAATGCATGAGAATCAGGCACAGAGGTTATGTGCTCTGTTTTTAGAGTGGCTGAGCTACAGTCTTATAAACCCTCTGCAGACGAGTCGGCAAAGACAACACCTTGGAGTACATAACAAAAATCTAAGATGGATGTAATAAATGCATGGATTATGGTTTCAGTCGCCTGGACAATTTGACTGTACGATCTGGTGAACTGTAAAGTGCCTTGAGATGACTTGTGTTTTGAATTGGCACTATAGAAATAAACTGAATTGAATTGAAATTGAATTGAAAATTGAATTGGACAGGAAAAATCCCCATTTAACTCAAAACCTATATTACTGTCATGGGCGTGCTTCGGTGGCGCAGTGGTTAGCACGCACAACCCATGTCTGGAGGCCTCAGTCCTCGATGCGCCCGACCCGGTTCGAGTCTGACCTGTGGTCCTTTGATGCATGTCTCTCCCCCTCTTCCATACCCCCTTTCCTGTCAATCTACTGTCAGAAAGACCAGTCACTAGTGCTGTTAAAAAAAAATATATATATATCTTAATGGTCTCAAATCACATTGTTTATTCACAGGACCCACTTAGCTCAAACAACAATACTTCTGTTTTCACATCATTATATTCAAGAGGTTTTGAACCAACCAAGCATTCATTAAGCAATCCTTCTTTCTAGAAAAAATATTTTCTTAGTATCACACCCAGATGCAATACAGAGGATTAGAATAAGATAAGATTTTGACACAGAAACAACAATCAGCTGATAGGATCTAAACTAATCCAGAGCGTTGCACTGAATACCCAGTTACCAAAGCATCAAAAGAGACATTTAGGTCCAGCTGAACTAACCAGTGTGGTATGTAGATATCTGGTTTACAGTAAATATGATCTAGCAGTGATGGTTCTAGACCAGACGAATGCAACCTTTCAAATCCAGAGATGCATTTTGTCCTTTCTTTTAGAGCTGCAAATGAATAAAAAAAAAAATTAAAAAAAATTATTTATGCTAAATATCCGGCAAATTGAGTCTGTTGCAATGATAAACAACCAACATTTTTGTATATTTAGCTTTAAAAATAAAATATTGAGCAATTCATAAAGATGAAGCATTGATTTTCTTCTGCAATTTGTTAATATTTTACAGACAATAAAATATAAAATTGAATTGTCTGTAAAATATAGGGGGATTGGGTTACGTTTTGTTTGGTACGTACAATGGGAAAGAACAAGAAAAAGAAGAAAACTGTGTGATAGTGATCCTAAATTTCACCATTTTGGGACAATGAAGCCTTCTTCTATTATATTTCAGTTTCATGTATATTTAGTGAGCCAAATATCTTTTTTATATTGTGTAGTTGGATGTGTGTTCATATATATAAAACTGTATCTGGAGCGTGTAACAAAAGTAATTTCTCTCTGGGATTATTAAAGTATTTCTGATTCTGATTTCTGGGTTGCAGGTTGTAGACCCCTGATCTAAGCAGATGAAACCTGTGATCCTGTCTCAATATGGCCGAAGTTGGCTAAATGTTTAAACCACTGTAGAAGTAAAAGTACAACATATTTAATAGGTTCAAAAAATTACAGTTGATTTAGTATTAGGTCTTCCGCAGAGGGGGCATAACCGGGACTTGGACCGGTTCTTTAGGGCTCTGGCTCCTGTTGGTCCCTGTCTAGGACCACTGTAGCCTAGTAGATGACATTAGAGACCATTTTAGAATAACTTAAAACTATGTAATGTAGACTGTATTTCTGCAACTCATGCAGACATTTGATATTAATGATAATTTCAATGTTTAAAACTAATTCTTTTTTTTTTTCAGGCCCTATTGGCCTTTATTTTCTGTAAGTAGGTAGACAGGAAATGTGGGTAGAAAAAAGGGGAAGATGTGCGACAAAGGTCACCAGGCCAGGACTCAAACCTGTGAAAACCACATCAAGGACCTAAGCC